ACTCTTTCTGATTTTATCTAAATTTAAGCCTCCTGAGCTTCCACCCATGAACTCGTCTCCTCCCTCCTGCTGGGCTGGGACTGAGTTCTCTCCAGGCTGGGCTCCGGAAGCTTCTCTGACCACCTTTTTCTGTGCACCTGAACTGCCCCTGATGTGGGACAAATCCCTACATCTTTGGAAGCTTTGCTTGGATGCCTGAAGCCTCGTCCCCCTTGGGCTATATCCTGGAAAGAAGGTGGAGGCTGCTTTAGAATGTCAGCAAGAGTTCTGGAGAAAGCTTTCTTTCTTTCATTTTTTTTTAAAGTTTAAAAAAAATTCTTGAATTTTATTTTACTTATTTTTTTATACAGCAGGTTCTTATTAGTTACCTGTTTTATATGTATTAGTGTATATATGTCAATCCCAATCTCCCAGTTCATGCCACCCCACCCTTCCCCCCTTTGTGTCCATACGTTCGTTCTCTACATCTGTGTCTCTGTTTCTGCCTTGCAAACCAGTTCATCTGTACCATTTTTATAGATTCCACATATATGCATTAATATTCGATATTTGTTTTTCTCTTTCTGACTTACTTCACTCTGTATGACAGTCTCTAGGTCCATCCACGTCTCTACAAATGACCCAATTTCATTCCTTTTTATGGCTGAGTAATATTCCATTGTATATATGTACCACATCTTCTTTATCCATTCGTCTGTCAATGGGCATTTAGGTTGCATCCATGACCTGGCTATTGAAAATAGTGCTTCAATGAACATTGGGGTGCATGTGTCTTTTTGAATTATGGTCTTCTCTGGATATATGCCCAGTAGTGGGATTGCTATGCCATATGGTAATTCTTTTTTTTTTTTTTTTTTTTTTTTTTTTTTTTTGTGGTACGTGGGCCTCTCACTGCTGTGGCCTTTCCCGTTGCGGAGCACAGGCTCCGGACACACAGGCTCAGCGGCCATGGCTCATGGGCCCAGCCGCTCTGCGGCATGTGGGATCTTCCCAGACTGAGTCACGAACTCGTGTCCCCAGCATCAGCAGGCGGACTGTCAACCACTGCGCCAAGAGGGAAGCCCAGAAGGTACTTTCTTGTTGTTCCTCTATCCACTCTGTTTGTGAGTTGAACATTGTTGTGTTGCTTTTTGTCCCAACAGAACCAGTGGAAACCTGTGTCAGGAGAGAGAGTCAGAGCCGGACTGCTCCATGTTGGGACTGAGGCTTCTTCTTTTAGGGAAACATGGCGCAGGGAAAAGTGCCACAGGAAACACCATTCTGGGCAAAGCTGTGTTCAAGTCCAGGCTCAGTGAGCAGATGGTGACTAAAACATGCCAGAGAGAGAGTGGGGCCACGCAGGGGAGGGAGGTTGTGGTCATCGACACCCCTGACCTTTTCTCCTCAATAGCTTGTGCCAATGACAAGGAAGGCTACATTGAGCACTGCCTGGAGCTCTCAGCTCCCAGCCTCGACGCCTTGCTTCTGGTAATTCCCATCGGCCATTATAAGGTGGAGGACAGAGAAACAATCAAGGGCATCCAGAAGGTGTTTGGAGCTAAAGCCAGGAAGCACATCATTATAGTCTTTACTTGGAAGGATGATTTGACGGATGGCTTGCTGGAAGATTACATTGAAAGTGACGAGTCTTTTAGGGACTTGGTTCAAAACTATGGTGGCCGATACTGCGCTTTCAACAACAAGGCAAGTGAGGATGAGCGGGACGCCCAGGTGAAGGACCTCCTCTGCAAGGTCCAGTGTTTGGTGGATGAGAACCAAGGACCATACTGGGTGAACTTCAGAAATGAAGACAGTAGATTCCAGGTGAGGATTCTTGTGAAGGTCTCCGAGGGTCTCTGTTGTTAGAGCTAGTGGGATAAAGGCACAAATAACTGAAATGTTGCAGAGGCTTTGTTTAAAGGGATATTTATCGGTAAACTGGAAAGATGAGGCTACTTCGAGTATTATACTTTATTGGCAAATTAATGGATATATTTTAGAGCTTATATGACTTTACCCCTCATAGTATTGGACACATAAATGACTCATTAGACCCTCTCTTCCCTTGGCTTCAGTAAAACTATGCTCTTCTTGTTTCTTCGTCCTTGCTTGCTACTCCAGAGAGTGCTGAGTCCTCCTCTAATGACCTGACAGCTGGTGTCTTCAGGGCTTGGTTCTCGCCCTTCCTCCCTTCTCTATACTTGTGTCCTCAGGTGATTCCACATTTTTACAGCTTTGAGCTTCATCTGTTGCTAACAGTTTCCAAATTAGTAACTCCAGTCCAGGTCTTTCCTCTTAAGTTCTGACTCCTTTGTCCATCCAATTGCTATTTGACATCGCTCTCTTAAAGAATCTCAGAATTAACACGTCCAGACTTTTGTTTTTCCCTCTTGAATCTCTGAGACTTCAGTTTTCCTCTCAGTTCTGTCAGTGGCTGTCCTGCCCATCATGCTGTTCAAACCTAAGCGCAGATGTCAGCTTTGATACCACGGCCAGCTTGCATCTGATTTCCAGGAGATGATCGTCTTGTGTGATTAAGGCACCTGGAATCCGCCTGCTTCTCTCTGTCTCCACTACCACCATCTGGACCAGGGCAACCTCTTTTCTTGCCTGTACTATTTTACACATATTTGCATAACAATTTCCAATCGTTTTTTTTTTTCTTGCGCCTTACCCTCCCCACGCCCATCCATTTCACACACAATAGCCAGCGTGATATTTTAGTTGACTTTAAAACTTCTGATTTCATGCCAATTTAAATGTTGGGAGTGAGGCTTCCCCAGGCAGGAGAAGGGGATGTTAATTATGTGTTTAGCTCTTCATCCTTCATTGTCTCCATTTGCCCATCTGGATGGGGAAGGTTCCAAATTTTACTGGATCTCACGTTTGGAGAAGCTTCATGTCGATACTGGGGGCGCAGTAAGGGGAGAAGACATTGGAGATACATGGGGAGCTTGATTTCCAATCTCATCCCTTCCCCTGTCCCTCAAATGCCCCGCACAGCCATCACTTGACTAGTTTCTTCTTCCGGGGAGTCCAGAAGCTTTTCTTAAGCTTCTGGATTTTCTCCAGGAATAGCAGGAACTCTGGGAGACACTGGAAAGGATTACTGTTACTATTGGGGACTGTGGAGAGGTAAAGTTAGAAAGTGCTTCAGGAACAATGCCTGGGTTAGATGGCATTTGTGGGGCTCCTCTGAGTGAGAACAAAACCCACCTTCTTACTTCTGGGAAACCTGTTCCAGCAGCAGCGGGGTCTCAAGGTCAGCTTCATCATGGACAGGACTACACATGCCAGCAGCGACCATGACCATGACCATGACCGTGACGTTCATTTCACCACATCCTAATCATTGAATTACTCTGAATTATATACTTGTGTCTCCATTCCTTTACTTTGTGAAAAGCTGAGATTTTAGATCTGTGTGCATTATATTCCCCTTTATTTTCTTTCTAGGATTGTGTGAATGAAGCTACATGTCAGAGGGAGGACCATCCACATGGTAAGATAATTCTTAAAAGAATGTTAAGCTCATATCTGTATTCTTTTGAATGCATCATGCATCAAAATGAAGCGGAAAAATTATCTAGATAAGTCAGAACAAAAATGCACCCTGGAGCCCTAGCTCAGGTTGGTGCCCACAGTCTGTCTCCCAGGGAACTGCTAACACTTGTGAGTAGGTGCGGCACCCGTGCGGGTGTCCCCAGCCTTCCCTGAAATGTTACAGAGCTGGGCTTGTCTCTTGCAGTTTCTTCCCTGACTCAGCCTCTTCTCCCCAGCCTGGGACCCAGCACTACTCAATTTTGGACTCCTACCGGGAGGCAGAAATCACTTCTTCATGGATAACACTAAACAGAATAACACCTGCAGCATTCAGTGATGGAGCTCAGTATCTGTGTGATGATTGCCATTAATGGTGCATCGTGCACACTGCACAAGTCAATACACATGGATCTACCTTGTTCTGTTCAGTGGACGTAACGTGGTCCATGGTATGGGCATACGTGACAAATTCACCCATCTCTTTGTTGTTGGACTTTCGGGTTATTTCTGGGCCAGCTCTGTGCAAGAACTGAATATTTCTTAGTAAATAAGGTAGATGAGATCTCTGTCCTTGTAGGACTTCCTAAAATAATAATTAAAATTAAAATTTTAATGATAATTATTGCAACTGACATTATATGCTGGGAGATAAAATATAAATTATTCAATCCTAGTAGCATATAATATATAATCCTCATAACAACCTCACAATATAGCCCTTAATAACAATCCTATAAAGATGGTGTCATTTTCATTATTTTCGTTTTACAGTTGAGTAAATTTAGCCAGAAATACGTGAACTCAGACAGCAATAGGGAGTTAAAATTCTGTCGATGCCCGTCAGCCAAGACCCCCAGGAATATTCCTGTTACTGAACAAAACTGGGCGGAAGGACTTGCGGCAGTGAGGGAATGTAGCACATCATGGGGACCAAGGAGCATCTCAGAATGAGGGTGTTGGTGAAGACTTTTTATAGGATGTGGGCTTGTGTGAAGTGATTTGGGGGGAAGTGGAAACTCTCCCAAGGCAGCATAACACGGACATGGTGTCATTAGCATTTCAGCTGCTTTCTTTAAATGCTGTGTTCTTTCCCCTTCCCAGACTTGGGGCTCAGACGCTGAGTATCATCTGTTCTGAGCTGGTCTATAATTTTCTCCTGACTTTTCTCCCATCTCTTCAACTGGATGGTGAGCATCTTGAGGGAAGGAGTTGGCCTTTTCCAGTCTCTTGTCTTCCCCACAGCGTATCTGTTGCCCAGGGCTTAGCACTCAGTGCTGTTGCTGAGACAGTCCTGGTTCATTGGTTTTACCCTTCCCTTCTTCCTCCCGTCTCCTCTCCTTCCCCCCCACCCCTTCCTTTCCTCCCTGCCCTCCGCCTTTCTTTCTTTCTTTTTTTGCGGTACGCAGACCTCTCACTGTTGTGGCCTCTCCCGTTGCGGAGCACAGGCTCCGGACGCGCAGGCCCAGCGGCCATGGCTCACGGGCCCAGCCGCTCCGCGGCACGTGGGATCCTCCCGGACCAGGGCACGAACCCGCGTCCCCTGCGTCAGCAGGTGGACTCTCAACCACTGCGCCACGAGGGAAGCCCCCTCCGCCTTTCTTGACCTCTTTGTTTACTCTCTTGGTTCTTTACTCTTCCCTCTGTTGGAGAAGTGGGGGCTGTTTTGACCAGACAAGGACAGGGAGCCTGAATCCTCATGATGGTCATGCCCCACATGGCACTAGGTGGGCTTTATTAGTCCAGCCACACTACCTTACCTACTGCTTAAGCCACACAAGTCCCCTTGTATACAGTCCACTCAGTGCTACGAATTCTATTGACCTGAGCTGAGATTCTTCCCATTCTACTCATCCCATTCTCTTCTGCTTCAAAGATCCTCACCTAGGAAGAACATCAGACCAAAGGGGGCATATCTGTTTGTTGTGCCCTTTCACATTCTTAATGGGGAGCCAGGTGCTGGGCAGCCTCCTAAAAGCACAGACATGTGGGAAAGTCAGGAGGGGCTGTATGGAGGAAGCACGATTTGAAACAGGCTTTGGAGAATGGGTAGAATTTGGATGGCTGAGTACAAAGCTCCAGAGAGTACACTAGTAACTTGAAGCAAGGAGGTAGAACTGAGCATCTACTTGTGAGAGGACAAAGGGGCGTGGCCTTGATGGAGATGAGGGCTCACACCTCTAGATGTGGGATGTGGAGTTTAGACCAGATTGCAGAGGGGGTGAGAACCACACTGTCCGAGGGCATGGAAGAGGGAGTTAATGTATTTTTTAACCCTGTTTGTTCAACTATGAGATTGTGGGTTCAGGATAAGCAATTGAGTAATTTCTCCCAGAAGGAAGAACATGGGATGGGCTTTCCTCTCTCTTTGTTTTGAGGCAGATATCAGTAACTTGGTAAAAACTCACAATCTAGAACTGTGAGACCTGAACGGAAGAGAGAGATCACAGTACAAGTGCAAAGTCATAAGGAAAACCCCAGTAATACACATTATAAGATCTTTCTGCATCTATCATCTCATTAATAGGGAATTTTTTTTTTTTTTTTTTTTTTTTTTTTTGCGGTACGCGGGCCTCTCACTGCTGTGGCCTCTCCCGTTGCGGAGCACAGGCTCTGGACGCGCAGGCTCAGCGGCCATGGCTCACGGGCCCAGCCGCTCCGCGGCATGTGGGATCTTCCCGGACCGGGGCACAAACCTGTGTCCCCTGCATCGGCAGGCAGACTCTCAACCACTGCGCCACCAGGGAAACCCCAGACTGTGTAATTCTGACAGGCTGTTCCAGGGCTTGGGGATGGAACTTTCTGAGCATCCTCTGCTGTAATTAATGGCAGTAGTCTTGAGATGAAAGTTGTAGCCAGATCAGCCCATGGTCACGAATCTTTCCTGCTTTCTCTTCAGCAGAGCCCCTGTGCATTATCCTCGTGGGGAGGAGCGGAACTGGGAAGAGTGCCAGTGGGAACACCATCCTCGGGAGGCCAGAGTTCCACTCTCAGCTGGGAACACAGCGAGTCACCAAGACATGCCAGAGAGGCTGCAGGGTGTGGGATGGGCAGGATGTTGTGGTTGTGGACACTCCCCTGCCCTGCCTGGTGTCTGGAGCTGAAGGGGGTCCATCCCAGGTCGATGAGGAGGTCAAACGCTGTTTGTCCTACTATAAAGAAGGGAGTACGGTTCTGGTCCTGGTATTACAGCTAGGACGGATCACGCAAGAGGACAAAAAGGCCGTGGCGGAATTAAAGACCATCTTTGGAAAGCAAGTTATGAAATACACGATTGTGCTGTTTACCCGGAAGGAAGACTTAGAGACTGGGAAGCTTGAAGATTATGTCAAAAACACAAATAACAGATATCTTAGGGACATAATTGAAAAATGTAAGGGGAGATATTGTGCTTTTAATAACAAAGAAACTGGCGAAGCCAGGGAAGAGCAGGCAAGAGAGCTTTTGTCAGAGGTTAGTAACCTGATAAAGTGCCATGGAGAGCATGAATATCACCATCCATGGGGGAATATAGGCAAAATAATGAAAAATTTTCAGCCCCCAAAATTACTGAATAATTTTAAAAGTACATTACTGCAAAATTACTAAATAACTTAAAGGGTAAGTTACTGTAGGAAGCCCCACATTACTAAATAATTTAAAAGGTAAGTTGCTATAGCAAGCTGAAATGCCTGAGGTCTCTTTAAGTTAGAGATACCCTCAGGCTACAAGCATGGGGGGGCATGGTAGGACTGGTGAGATGGGAAGAGGGTCCATGACTTTGAGGGCTTGAGAGGTAACTGCATATCACACTGTGGTGCTTCAGCTCTTTGTAGGTAAATAAATTGTCAGGCTGGGGCAGGTAGTAGGGGATAATAAAGGAGAAATAAAAAATAAGGTGGGGAAATCTGGGCAAAGTCTTCAGAGATTAATTAGGCTGATATTAAGGATCAGAATCAAGTCACAAGAATCACTTCATCTGTGTAGACAGATCAGACTCAGGACAGACACTGGGACTGAGGCCAAGGCCAGCCTGGGGTCAGAATACAGAGAGTCACACAAGAACCAGAGGATTCAGATACATGAAGGTAAGACAATGTCCAGTCAACTCCTGGGTGTGGCAGAATGGAGAAGCTGGACTCCTGTGGGCCTCTCTGATGCCCAGCACTGCTTGCCAGGTGCCCTGAGCTCTCCACCTCCACTGGGACAGCACTCAGGGCCTTCCTTTCTTCACATGATGGCTACTTCTTCTTTCCCCAGTCCAAGCTGGAATGGAAAGTGGGACCTAGTCTACCTTCCTTTGCTGGCCCTGAGGAAATGAACAGGAGTCTGTGAAGGATCAAAAGATTTTATTGCCAATCATTCACAGTGAAATAGACTAGAACAAAAATCAGAAGCATGGTAAAATTGCCAAGATTAGGCGATCTTGCAAAAATTAAAAAGTCTAAGTAAAATTCTAGATTTCCTCTACAAAAAGTTATTGAGAACTCCTTTATACTTCTCTCTCTCTTTCTCTTTCTTTTTCCCTCTCTCCCCCACCCTCCTTGTCCCTGAGGCTTAGGAATTAGGTTGAAACTCAAAGAGGGGCTTCCCTGGTGGCGCAGTGGTTGAGAGTCCGCCTGCCGATGCAGGGGACACGGGTTCGTGCCCCGGTCTGGGAAGATCCCACATGCTGCGCAGCGGCTGGGCCCGTGAGCCATGGCCGCTGAGCTTCCGCGTCCGGAGCCTGTGCTCCGCAACGGGAGAGGCCACAGCAGTGAGAGGCCCGCATACCGCAAAAAAAAAAAAAATGTGCTTTGATTTCAACTGTTTACATTATAATATGTTCCTTTCTTAAAAAAATGAATGAACTAAGGAATTAATCCAGCTGCCAACTACTTAATTCCAGTACAAAAACCTTTTAATGATTTCTAAGGCTTCTGATATTTGTGTTAGACTTAAGGTTTTAATGGGTGATAGTTTCTGAAAAATCCATATTTTTTTCTTACATTTGTGAGTTAAAATAAAACAGATAGTAAAAGTCTTGAGGTTCAATCTGAGAATTAAATTCCATATGAATAATCATATGTAGGTATATTAATAGCCTCTGGTTATTGGGGCAGCCTGCTCTCATACCTACAACACAGCATACGTTTTACATTCAAGTTCCTTTGTGTTTAAAAAATAAAATTAAAAATGTAAATATAAAAAATACGACTGTAAAGAAGATTGGGGACTCTTTTTAAGTTTAATTTTTGAATAGAAAAATACATTCAAATGATTCAAAATTCAAAAAGTATGAAATTCTACTTCTGGATATTTATCCAAAAGAATTTTCTTTCAGGTTTACTGAGATGTTATTGACATATAATATTGCGTTACTTTAAGGGGTACAGCATGAGAGTTTGATACATGTATATATTGCAAAATGACTACCCCAATAAGGTTGGTAACACCTCCATCACCTCACATAATTACCTTTTTTTCTGATGGTGAGAACATTTAAGATATACTGTCTTAGCAACTTGCAAGTATATAATACAGTATTGTTAACTATAGTTACCGTGCTGAACATTAGATCCTCAAAATCTATTCATCTTATAACTGAAAGTTTATATCTTTTGACCACCATCTCCCCATTTCTCCCACTCCCCTGGGCCTTGGCAACTACCGTTCTGTTCTCTGTTTCTATGACTTCGGCTTTTTTAGATTCCACATGTAATCATATCACAAGTATTTGTCTTTCTCGGTCTGGTTGTTTTCTCTTAGCATCATGCCCTTAAGTTCCATCCATGTTGTGATAAGTGTCAGGGTTACCTTTTTTTTTTAATGGCTGAATAATATTCCATTGTATGTTTTTACCACATCTTATTTCATCCATCAATATATACTTAGGTTGGGGCTTCCCTGGTGGCGCAGTGGTTGAGAGTCCGCCTGCCGATGCAGGGGACGCGGGTTCGTGCCCCGATCCAGGAAGATCCCACTGGGCCCGTGAGCCATGGCCGCTGGGCCTGCGCGTCCGGAGCCTGTGCTCCGCAGCGGGAGAGGCCACAACAGTGAGAGGCCCGCATACCACACACACAAAAAAAAGATACTTAGGTTGTTTCCATATCTTGGCTATTATGAATAATGCTGCAATGTATATAGGGGTGCAGATATCTCTTTGAGATCCTGATTTCATTTCTTTGGGATATTTACCCAGAAGTGGGGTTGCTGAATCATATGATAGCTCTATTTTTAATTTCTTGGGGACCCTCCATACTGTTTTCCATAGTGGCTGCACCAATTTACATTCCCACCAACAGCACGCAAAAATGTTGCCTTCTCTCTACATTCTCGCCAACACTATTTCTCTCTTGTCTTTTTGATAATAGCCCACTGCAACAGGTGTGAAGAGATATTATATACTATATATATGTATATGCAATGGAATGTTGTTCAGTGATTAGAAAAGAAGAAGGAAATCTTGTTAAAATGCTACAATATATGATGAACCAGGAAGACATTATACTAAATGAAAAAAGCCAGTCACAGAAGTACAAATACTACGTGATTCCACTTATATATAAAGTAGTCAAGTTCTTAGAAACAATAAGTATAATAGTATTTGCCAGGGGCTAGGGGAAGGAGGAGATGGGGAGTTGCTGTTCAATGGGTACAGAGTTACAGCCATGCAAGATAAAAAAGTTCTAGAGGTCTGTACAACATTGTTCTTATAGTTAACAATATCGTACTATGCCCTGAAAAATCTGTTAAGAGGGTGCATGTCATGTTATGTGTTTTTTACCATAATAAAAAATTATGGAAAAGCATATATTAAGAGATTTGGGTTCTACCTTGTCCACCTGATTCTCCCACAGTTCTCTAAAATTAATCACTTTATTTCTTGAATATACTTACACTGTTTCTGCAAATATAAGCATATCTGAGTATATATTCTTAATTTATTCCCCTTTTTAAACGTATAAAGTGGTGTACTATTTTTACAGCTCCACATCTTGTTCTTTCCATGTAACAATACGTCATGGAGATTTTCCCATATCAGTATCTGGAGTGCTTGCTTATTCATTTTATACAGCTGCATACTAGTCTTTTGTGTAGTTATGCAGGGGGTTATTTTTTCACATGTCTCAGCTGATGGTCCTTTGGGGATTGTTCCAACCTTTGCTATTTGAAATAACATTGTGTTCTTTGCTATATTTCCATACACATGTGTTATGCAGTTTTGTATTTTCACTAATGAAGTATGAAGGCACCTGTTTGTCTCATACTTTCGAGTTTTGAAAACCAAACAGGAGAGAAATCACATCGAAGAGGTGTTTGATATGCCCTTCTTTCCATGTGAGTGGCATTAAGCCTTTTTTCATATGTTTAATATATTTGTTTTTCTGTCGATTCTCTTGATATTGTTTTGTCCATTTTTACAACGGGTTGTTGGTTTTTTATTTTTCAATTTCCTAGGAACTCTACATGTTAGAGAGACTAGACATTTGCCTATTAGATGAGTTACAAATACTATTTTCTAGCTTGTCATTCAAATTTTACTTTAAAAAAATGTTCTTTTTCACGTTTTAAATTTATTTATTTATTTTTAGCTGTGTTGGGTCTTCGTTGCTGTGAATAGGCTTTCTCTAGTTATGGCGAGCGGGGGGCTACTCTTCGTTGCGGTGCGCAGGCTTCTCATTGCGGTGGCTTCTCTTGTTACAGAGCACGGGCTCCAGGTGTGCGGGCTTCAGTAGTTGCAGCACGTGGGCTCAGTAGATGCCACATGGGGGCCCTAGAGCTCAGGCTCAGTAGTTGTGGCGCACGGGCTTAGTTGCTCCACGGCATGTGGGATCTTCACGGACCAGGGATTGAACCTGTGTCCCCTGCATCGGCAGGTGGATTCTTAACCACTGCGCCACCAGGGAAGTCCTCCCAATTTTACTTTTGTAATGTAGATATGTATCACTATTATATAGGCAAATTAATCAATAAATTTATCTGTGTGTTCTGGCTTTTGAGTCACCATTAGAAAGACCTTCCACATGTACAGATTACATGTAGTGGAATACTTTTCTGTTTCCTTCTAGGACTTTAAAATTTTCCTTTTTGCTAACATTTAAATCATTTATTCATTTGTAATATACCCTGGTGCTTATCAAGCATTTATCTAGTCTTTCCTGCATAAACTATACTTCGGGTTACTAAATACATGAAGAAGGAAAGAATATCCTAAGAGAAATATTCTAGCTACTTAATGAAAAAGAAATTTTAGAATAGGATATCTCCTTTTTTTTTTTTGGTACACGGGCCTCTCACTGTTGTCGCCTCTCCCGTTGCGGAGCACAGGCTCCGGACGCGCAGGCTCAGCGGCCATGGCTCACGGGCCCAGCCGCTCCGCGGCACGTGGGATCTTCCCGGATCGGGGCATGAACCTGTGTCCCCTGCATCGGCAGGCGGACTCCCAACCACTGCACCACCAGGGAAGTCCAGGATATCACCATTTTTAATACCTATTAAAATAATGGATCTACACAATGATCACCAATGAGTGCTAACATAAAAAGAGGGAAAACCAGACGTTGAGTACCCCCTGTGGAAATATAGACTATCATCTCTAAGTAACATTGTAAAAAAAATTGAACTTTATTCTGATCTGTCTGATCAAACTAACCACAACTAACTTCCAGTTTACAAAAATGGTGAGGCAGAGGAACACGTTAAATGACATCATAACGATGTAAGCAGCAAAATTCAGAATGTGGGGAAATCAATAGTACAAATGTCTAGTGTCTTCAATGAATACTTTGCATAAAGAAGAAATGAGGGAGGGGTCTTCTGGTTTTGGCTATGATGGAGTAACTAGTATTATTATTTACCTCTTTCCATTAACAAGCAGAAAACTAGAGAAAAATATGCAGGCAGACCTCATTGTATTGTGCTTTGCATATATTGTGGTTTTTACAAATTGAAGATTTGTGGCCACTGCATGGAGCAAGTCTATCAGTGCTGCTTTTCCAATAGTGTCTGCTCATTTTATGTCACATTTTGGTAATTCTCACAATATTTATAACTTTTTTCAATATTATTATATTTGTTATGGTGTTGATGGGAGCAATCCATAAACAGTCTACAATAGTAATAGAAAAGAGTTTTATCTGAGCCAAACTGAGAACTACAGCCTGGGAGACACAGATCCAAAAGCATTTGAATTGTGTTCTGCTACTACAAAATGGGGAGCTTATAAAGGCAAAAATCATAAAATTACATAATTGTTTGTCAAGAATTATAATTGGAGCTGGCAAGAAGTAAAGGTGCTTGTTAAGCAAGGTTTGGTTGGGGTCCAAAATGGTTTCATAGTTACAAGGGGGACCTTGAAGCCATAAAGATGCAGCTGGCAGTGGCTAGCAGATATATTTTGAGAACAGCTGGTGGTATCCTTGAGTTTGATACATTTCAGCAGATTCAAGTTCTCAGTGATGCAAGAGTGTGTCTGAAACCACATCCACAATGGCCACCCGGCTCCATTTTGAATACCTGAACCACAGTTATTCCATTTTTATTTTTATTTTTGTTTATTTATTTGTTGGCTGCACTGTGCGGCCTGTGGAATCTTAGTTGTCCGACCAGGGATTGAACCCATGCCCCCTGCAGTGGAAGTGCAGAGCCCTAACCACTGGACCACCAGGAAATTCCTTCCATTGTGATTTTTTTTTTTTTTTTTTGGTACGCGGGCCTCTCACTGTTGTGGCCCCTCCCTCTGCGGAGCACAGGCTCCGGACGCGCAGGCTCAGCGGCCATGGCTCACGGACCCAGCCGCTCCGCGGCATGTGGGATCTTCCCGGATCGGGGCACGAACCCGCGTCCCCTGCATCGGCAGGCGGACTCTCAACCACTGCGCCACCAGGGAAGCCCTCCATTGTGATTTTTAAATGCATTCTTTTCTTTAATGGTTAAAGCAGATGTACAATGTACATTTAATACGCCACAAAACAGGCTGTTCTAGCTAGCATAAAGTTCAAGTTAAATCACGTATAAGCCAGAATGACTTCCCCATGCCCCCTTCCGTCACAGTGATCTGTGATCAGTTGTCTTTGAGGTTACTGTTATAATTGATTAGGGGTGCCACGAACTGCACCCATATAGGACAGTGAACTTAATTGATAAATGTGTGTGTTCTGACTGAATTATAGGGGTCCCAGAAGAAGAGAAAAAGAAAGGGTCTGAGAAAATATTTGAAGAGATTATAGTAGAAAACTTCCCTAACATGGGAAAGGAAATAGTCACCCAAGTCCAGGAGGTACAGAGAGTCCCATACAGGGTAAACCCTAGGAGAAACACATCAAAACACATATTAATCAAACTAACAAAAATTAAATTCAAAGAAAAAATATTAAAAGCAGCAAGGGAAAAACAACAACAAAACATACAAAGGAATCCCCATAAGATTATCAGCTGATTTTTCAGCAGAAAGTCTGCAGGCCAGAGGGAGTGGCAGGATATACTTAGAGTGATGAAAGAGAAAAACCTACAACAAAGATTACTCTACCCAGCAAGGATCTCATTAAGATTCAATGGAGAAATCAAAAGCTTTTCAGACAAGCAAAAGCTAAGAGAATTCAGCACCACCAAACCAGCTTTACAATAAATGCTAAAGGAACTTCTCTAGGCAGGAAACACAAAAGAAGAAAAAGACCCACAAAAACAAACCCAAAACAATTAAGAAAATGGTAATAGGAACAAACATATTGATAATAACCTTGAATGTAAATGGATTAAATGTCCCAACCGAAAGACACAGACTGGCTGAATGAATACAAAAACAAGACCCATATATATGCTGTCTACAAGAGACCGACTTCAGACCTAAGGACACATACAGACTGAAAGTGAAGGGATGGAAAAAGATACTCCATGCGAATGGAAGTCAGAAGAAAGCTGGAGTAACAATATTTGTATCAGATAAAAAGACTTTAAAATAAAGACTGTTACAAGAGACAAAGAAGGACACTACATAATGATCAAGGGATCAATCCAAGAAGAAGATATAACAATTATAAATGTTTATGCACCCAACAGAGGAACACCCCAATACACAAGGCAAATGCTAACAACCATGAAAGGGGAAATCGACAGTAACACAATAATAGCAGGGGACTTTAACACCCCACTTACACCCATGGACAGATCATCCAAAATGAAAATAAATAAGGAAACACAAGCTTTAAATGACACAATAGACCGGATAGATTTAATTGATATTTATAGAACATTCCACCCAAAAGTGGCAGAATACACTTTCTCCTCAAGTGCACGCGGAACTTTCTCCAGCATAGATCACATCTTGGGTCACAAATCAAGCCTTGGAAAGTTTAAGAAAATTGAAATCGTGTCAAGCATCTCTTCTGACCACAATATTATGAGATTGGAAATCAATTACAGGAAAAAAACTGTAAAAGCCACACATAGATGGAGGCTAAACAGCGCACTATTAAATAAGCAAGAGATCACTGAATAAATCAAAGAAGACATAAAGAAATACATAGAAACAAATGACAACGACAACACAATGACCCAAAACCTATGGGATGCTGTAAAAGCAGTTCTAAGCAGTTTGAGATTTCATCCATTCTGTAGCCCATGGATCAAGGAGTAATTTTGACTTTCAAGTATTATTATTTAGGAAATACATTTCATAAAGCTATAGCTGCCATAGATAGTGATTCCTTTGATGGATCTGGGCAAAGTTAATTGAAAAACTTCTGGAAAGGACTCACCATTCTAGAAGCCCTTAAGACTATTCACGATTCATGGGATGATGTCAAAACACCAATATTAACAAGAGTTCGGAAGAAGCTGATTCCAAACCTCATGGGCGACTTTGAGGGGCTCAACACTTTCATGGAAGGAGTAACTGCAGATGTGGTGGAAACAGCAAGAGAACTAGAATCAGAAGTGGAGCCTGAAGATGTGATTGAATTGCTGTAACCCCATGATAAAACTTTAACAGATGAGGAGTTGCTTCTTATGAATGAGCAAAGACAGAGGTTTCTTGAGATGGAATCTACTCCTGGTGAAGGTGCTGTGAACATTGTTGAAGTGACAACAAAGGATTTAGAATATTACATAAATTTAATTGATAAAGCAACAGCAGAGTTTGAGAGGACTGATTCCAATTCTTCTTTCTACCCATTCGTAGTAAGAAGTTCTATGGTGGGTAAAATGCTATCAGATGGCATTGTGTGCTACAGATAAATCATTTGTGAAAGGAAGAGTCAGTTGATGTGGCAAACGCCACTGCTGCCTTATCTTAAGGAATTGTCACAGCTGCCCCAAATGTCAGCAGCCACCACCTTGATTAGTCAGCAGCCATCAACATGGAGGAAGACCCTCCACCAGCAAAAAGATTATGACTCACTGAAGGCTCAGATGATGGTTAGCAGTAAAGTAATTTTAGATTCAGGTATATACATTATTTTTTGGACAAAATGCTATTGCACCCTAAATAGACTACAGTGTAGCATAAACATAACTTTTATGTGCACAGGGAAACCAAGAACTTGGTGTGATACTTTTGATAGTCACTTCGTTGCGGTGGTCTGGAACCAAACCTGCGATGTTTCCGAGGTATGCCTGTGTAAAAGAACTGTTTCCAGACATGGGACAACAGCCTGCTCTGGACTGATCTATGGATGGGTCAGGTGGATAGAAAATAAAAAGCAACGGAAGAAAATAGATGGTGTGTCTGATGCAAGGAAGGGAAATTGAAAGTGAAATTATGTAAAAAGCAAATAAAGTTCCTTATCAACACAGACAAAGATACTGACTCTGAAAAAATGGAAGCTGATGGCAGCTATCATCTGAAAATGCTCAGCATTCGTGAGTGCTACACAAGCTAATTAAAATGGCAAGAAAACTCAAAAAGCATATAACAAAAACAGCAAATATTCTGATGTGAGAAATGATCCAGTTTTTGACTCGGAGGACAGCCTTGAAGGCCCGGTTTCTCTGGGCCTCTTTCAGGTCGTGCTTTTGCTTCGCAACATGCGACCGCACCTGGGCCAGGTAGCGCACGAGACCTTCTCCATGGGGGTCGCCCCCGCCCTGCTGGAGCCGCTGTGCATCAAAGAAGAGGTCGTTGCTGAGGTAGGCGCCCTGGAGCTCCCTCTCCAGCCCCTCGACCACGGCCATCAGCTCGGCCAGCTGCTTCCTCTGCTCGTCCCCGGAGGCCCGGTTGCTGAAGGCGCAGTACCTCTGCCCGCACTCCCGGACCAGGCCCCTCAGCCTCACGTTGTCTGTGTTTGCTACGTAGTCACGCAAGGATCCGTCCGCTAAGTCCTCCTTGTGGGTGAAGAGGACGATCGTGTGTCTCAGGGCTCTCGCCCCAAAGACCTCCTTCACCCTGGTCGCGGCCACCACGTCCTGCTCTGCGAAGCGCCCCAGCTGGGTCACCAGCAGCAGCACGTGAGGCCCCGGGGCCGAGAGCAGGTAGCAGTCCCCGATGTTCTCGTAGGCCTCTTGGTCCTGGGCCGTCGCCTCAAAGATGGGGGGCGTGTCCACCACCAGGACGCTCCTCCCATCCCACGTGCCCGTTGCGCCCTGACACTCCCTGGTCACCGACTGGGCCCCCAGCCTGGACTCAAACACTGGCTGGCAGAGGATGCTGTTCCCGGTGGCACTTTTCCCGCTGCCTGTTTTGCCCACCAGGATGATCCTCAATGAGGACGAGGTTGCAAACAGCTTATGTTCTATCCCGCCTATTAAAAAAAAAAAAAAGTTTTTCGTGTTTTACTAAGTCAGTGATTAAAAAAAAATTTTTATTTTATCTTGGAGTTTAGTTTATTAACAATGTTGTGTTAGCTTCACTTGTGCAGCAAAATGATTACGCTATACATATACGTGTATCTATTCTTTTTCAAATTCTTTTCCTGGAGCTCCCTCTCCAGCCCCTCGACCACGGCCATCAGCTCGGCCAGCTGCTTCCTCTGCTCGTCCCCGGAGGCCCGGTTGCTGAAGGCGCAGTACCTCTGCCCGCACTCCCGGACCAGGCCCCTCAGCCTCACGTTGTCTGTGTTTGCTACGTAGTCACGCAAGGATCCGTCCGCTAAGTCCTCCTTGTGGGTGAAGAGGACGATCGTGTGTCTCAGGGCTCTCGCCCCAAAGACCTCCTTCACCCTGGTCGCGGCCACCACGTCCTGCTCTGCGAAGCGCCCCAGCTGGGTCACCAGCAGCAGCACGTGAGGCCCCGGGGCCGAGAGCAGGTAGCAGTCCCCGATGTTCTCGTAGGCCTCTTGGTCCTGGGCCGTCGCCTCAAAGATGGGGGGCGTGTCCACCACCAGGACGCTCCTCCCATCCCACGTGCCCGTTGCGCCCTGACACTCCCTGGTCACCGACTGGGCCCCCAGCCTGGACTCAAACACTGGCTGGCAGAGGATGCTGTTCCCGGTGGCACTTTTCCCGCTGCCTGTTTTGCCCACCAGGATGATCCTCAATGAGGACGAGGTTGCAAACAGCTTATGTTCTATCCCGCCTATTAAAAAAAAAAAAAAGTTTTTCGTGTTTTACTAAGTCAGTGATTAAAAAAAAATTTTTATTTTATCTTGGAGTTTAGTTTATTAACAATGTTGTGTTAGCTTCATGTGTGCAGCAAAATGATTACGCTATACATATACGTGTATCTATTCTTTTTCAAATTCTTTCCTCATTTAGGTTATTTCAGAATATTGAGCAGAGTTCCCTGTGCTATACAGTAGGTCCTGTTGGTAAAGTTAGTGATTCTTAAGACTTTTAGGTCACTGACCTTTCATGGTATCTCATGAAAGCTATGGACCTCTCTCCCTGCCTAATAGTGATATTTAAATACATACAGATGTTTGCATACAACTTTAGGCGACTCTTGAATGGCAGGAAGCCCACACTGGGAGCCTGAACTTGGACCCACAGCCAAGAGTAAGAACTGCTACACTATGAAGGATGCTCCAAGGACTTCATCAGGACCAGGGACAATACAGCTTTCAGAAAGCTGGTCCCTGTGCTTTTCCAGGGATGGTGCTTAGCCCAGTTTCATGCTAAATAAATGTGAGATTAGAAAGAGGTGGAGGATGAGAAGTCATCAGTGAGAAACTATTATCACCTCTCTTTCACCCACCAATTAATTCCAAGGCACACAGGCTGCCAATCACATTCATCTGAACCTTGGGGGTAAAGGAAGTCTCAGATGTCAGAGCTCCAGTGACCTACCACCGAGGACCAGCTGAATGTCCCCGGGTTTCCTCTTTTTGGGTGGGGAGTTGGATGTTTGAACGTGAGCCTAGAGAAGGCTTGTCGTTAAAGTCAAGGACGGAGTCTGACAGATGACCCTGGATCGGTGGCTGAGGAAGAGATGATAAGACCATCATGTGTAAGAAATACATGCGTTGGAAAGATCGTCAGTTTGGCTGATAGAATGACAGGAAATTAGAACAAAAGTGGTGTTGTCGAGGGTGACCCTGCAACAAGAGCTAAAATCTTCAAGGGATGAAGAGAGTGAGAATCCAAGGATTTCTGGAGTTCTTATGAGCTCAAATGAATTAAGTTCATTTTAGTCTTCTAAAATCTGTTATTGTTATTCCTTTTACTTTGTGTTGGTTCTTCCCTTTCTTAAGTATCCTGGATTTTTTTTTTAGCAAACACGATTACTAAATCTTTATGGGGAACTTTTCCTCTTTTCAGTTGAGTGCAGGCCGGGAAGGGTATCATTTTCACAATTCGTTTCTAAGTCCCCTGACTTCTGACTTGAAGTTTCATTTCCTCATTTCCCGTACATCAGGGCACAGGGGAGAGCTTCACACTCGGGCGTGTGTGGCTGTGATGATGGTGGGGAAGATAAGAACATGATAGCTGCCTTTTCTTCTGCAGCTGAAAATAACTGGGTTTCTTTTCTGTCACTGTGTTTGAGGTGAGGGAGAGGAGGAGAGAAAACAGTGACTCTTCCCTGACGCCTAGAGCTCTTGAGAATTTGGAGGCTTTCTTACCTTCAGCCATGGTCCCGTATCTGCTCCTCTGAAGCCCGTCCATTCTCTTCTGGAATAAAAAAAGGAAAGGAATAAAAAGCAAGTGTCCATATGGGACTTGGTAAGGCCTGAGAACACCTCCAATTCAGACAGCCAAGAATAATTATCCTTAGAGGAGCCGTTTCCATTGCTAATTTTCTAACTTATATTTTACTTTCAAATATCCATATATAACTTTAAGCAAGCCAGGTGATGCTAGGCTATATTAACACAATGAACTCTTGCTTCTTCCTCATCCTATAGGAAAGCATGAAATGTTCGAAAACAAATCAGTTGATTATCTCCCCTCTACCTGAAAAGGCATGAAATAAAGAAAGTCTTCTTCTATGGAATGAGAAGCAGGATTTTTTTTATTGCTTTATTATTACTATTATCATTGGAATCAAAGTAAGCAAACTCGCTAGACTAGAGAATGAAAATTGCCTTTGCTGTAAATGACATTGGCTTGTTTGAAGCACTGGCCATTTCCAGCCCCAGAAACTCTTTGTATCAGACGGATATCCCGGTGGCAAAGAGGAAAGTCCAATGTACCTTCCAATGGGAGGGATGTACCCGGAGAAAACCGTAATTCAAAAAGATAAAATGCATGCACCCCAATATTCTTTGCAGCGCTATTTACGATAGCCAGGACATGGAAACAACCTAAATGTCCATTGACAGATGAATGGATAAAGAAGATATGGCACATATATACAATGGAATATTATTCAGCCATAAAAAGAAACAAAATAGTGCCATTTGCAGAGATGTGGATAGACCTAGAGACTGTCATACAGAGTGAAGTAAGTCAGAAAGAGAAAAAAGCAAATATCGTATAATATTGCTTATATGTGGAATCTAGACAAATGGTACAGATGAACTTATTTGCAAAGCAGAAATAGAGACACAGGTGTAGAGACCAAACATATGGATATCAAGGGGGAGGGGGGGGGTGGGATGAACTGGGAGATTGGGATTGACATATATACACTACTATGTATAAAATAGATAACAACCTACTGCATAACACAGGGAACTCTACTCAATGTTATGTGGGGACCTAAGTGGGAAGGAAATCTACTAAAAGAGGGGATATAAGTATACGTATAACTGATTCACTTTGCTGTAGAGCAGAAACTAACAGAACATTGTAAAACAACTACACTCCAATAAAAATTTTTAAAAATAAATTTTAAAAAACTTCAAAAAAAAAATGAGTCTTGAGTCATAGCCTAGCTCTGGCTTCCCCAAGGACTTACAGGAATTCCTCTTCTAGGGAATTGAATCCATTGGGTATTCTGTGGAAAGAGTAGTGGCGTCTGCCCTGCCAGGCAGTTGAATATTGAATATTGTACGATACTGAATATTGTACAGACTATGTAAGAGGGTATGCATTGTTTGAAATCTTCTACTTGAAAAACTCATCATGGGGGCTTCCCTGGTGGCGCAGTGGTTAAGAATCCGCCTGCCAATGCAGGGGAGATGGGTTTGAGCCCTGGGTCAGGAAGATCCCACATGCCGTGGAGCAACTAAGCCTGTGTGCCACAACTACTGAGCCTGCGCTCTAGAGCCCGAGTGCCACAACTACTGAAGACTGCGTGCCTAGAGCACGTGCTCCGCAACAAGAGAAGCCACTGCAGTGAGAAGCCCGCACACTGCAACAAAGAGTAGCCCCCTCTCACTGCAACTAGAGAAAGCTCGTGCACAGCAATGAAGACCCAATGCAGCCAAAAATATAAATTAATTTTTTAAAAAAGAAAAACTCATCCTGACCAAAAACAACTCTCAGAAGTAAGTCAAATATGAATCTCTTTAGATAAAATGACAGCTGATCCAGGCAGCAGGGCATGGAAATATGAAAGAAACTTCATCAGCACACGATCAAGGAATTTTTATTCTTGAAGAGATAAAAGAAAAGGTGAGAGGAGACGTATGTGGTTGATATGAATATATATATTCACTTAGACAGTTTTTGAGAAATTTTGGTATTTTGACTCTGTATCTGGTTCAGGAAACTCTTCCTATAGGACAGTAAGGAAAAATAAATTCCAGTTCTGATTTGCCATGTTTTACCCTTAGAAAATCACTTGATTCTCAGTAGATTACTTTCCTCTTCAAATAAAAGGCTGTAAATTATCTGTCATCCACACTGTGCAGAGCTGGACCGTTTTGACAACTTCAGTGGCCTCTGCCTTACTTCCCCAGATACCCTCTTACCGAAGATGGGCAGGAGGGGCAGTGGGCCTGGCCACGAGGGCTGTCTGGTGTCCCACACCCTTGGTCTGAATCACAGCCCCACCCCCTGCCAGCCGTGTAACCCTGGGAAGCTGCTTAATCTAAGTGTTAAACCTCTTCTGCACAAATGGGATCATTGATGTAGCGCCGTCCGCATAGGGCTGTGGGGAGGATCAGATGAGACCATCTCTGCCCCCTTCCCT